CCCCCCCCCCCCCCCCAAAAAAAAAAAAACCCCAACAACAATCTTTAAGGACAGTTTTCCATTGTGACTTTTTTTATATTGAACTGATGCTATAGCTTTTGGAAAGACATAGCTAATAGCAAGAATAAAACTTTCAAGAAACAGGATTTTAGAAGAGAATGAAATATAGGAGGAAAGATACCTTCTTGATAGTATCCAGCATGGATCGCCCTCCTTGCCAGGGTTTGGAATTCTTTCTGATACAAGTCAGACTAGCCATGCTGTGCCACTTCCGGTCCTCTAGCTTCTTATGAAAAGCATTAGCCAATAAAAGCACAGTGTCATATATGTAGAGGTTTGAAATCTGCAAAGAAATTAGAGATTATTTTTATTAGTTAGAGGACACAAGCTAGCAAATAGAATTAATAATCTGTTTGCCTCAGCTATTTATTGCCCATCCTGTCAATAATAATGATTTACTTGGCATTAAACAGCTTTAAAACCTACTAAAACAACCATCCTTTACTATACCATCATCAACCACTTGGGATGTTGGTCATATCCACTTTGACTATTACCTCCATTCCAGTATGAGGCACCAGGGACCCCGTTACCTGCACGTATCCAGTTGCAGGATTGTGAACTAGATTATCATCTGTTTTTTCTTGTTTCTACTCAGTTTCTAAACAATTTCAGGATCTGATTCTTAAGCACTAGCATATTTTGCAATGTCTGCACTGCCCACATGCTAGGAGGACTTGTTTGTAAATATATCAGGGTCTGCCAGCTACTGAAAAACTGATGGTGGTACAGAGTAGTTCTATGTCACAATGTCTCCATTTTTCCCCCAAAACACTTGCAGCAACAGAACTCAGTGATACCTCTCATTACTAGTCCAAAACAGACAGAGTTTTCATTCCAGTCTCCAGCTAAATCCAGCCCCATCTCCACAAGGGTCTGATTTCTTGCTCTCTATTGAGCCACTACATCTGGGGCTACTTGCCTGAAGTCTAGCCACTATGAAAGTCCACATCTCCTCCCAAGCCCATACACAGGTTTTGTCTCTTAGCTCTTCCCCAGAAGACCTGATCGAGTCACATGACCTCCATCCTGCCCATCTGGGGAAGCAAGCTAATTTTGTAACAGACGGGGTGGATTTTTCTCCTTTTCCAGGGGGCAGTCACCTTGTGACACTAAGCAACTGAAATTTAGAACACATCATGGAAATATATAGCCTGGTTTCAATTATTTCACAAAAGCATTTTACTAAACCAACATTTTGAGGTAAATATGGCCATTTGAATGCCCCAGTAGGCATATGGTTTGTTTTTCATTATACTATTTTATTACTTTCAGTCCATCAGTGTGTTTCTTAGTATGCTCAATTCAGTTAACTAAAATGGGGAACACAAAGGGTGTGTCTAGACTACAGGGTTTTTTCTAAAAAAGTGGCCTTTTTTCAAAAAAACTTCCCCTGCATCTAGACTGCTGCCGCATTCTTTTAAAAGTAAATGGAAAGAACGCAGCAGTTTCTTTAACCACAGAAAACATCATTTTATGAGGAAGAACACCTTTTTTCGAAAGTGCTCTTTTGAAAATAGGCACTGTGGGTGTGTCTAGACTACATGCCTCCTTCGACGGAGGCATGTAGATTAGCCAGATC